CTAATACGTCAATCCCACCCGCCTCCTGATACAACGAAGATGCACTTATGCACTTGTCAGCAGCTCCAATCATTAAAGCACCTGGTCAAGTTTGCATGTTACCGTTTCAACATTTTTAAAACCCCCCCGCTCGCGCAGGCCCGAGCCCAAGTCATGGTGGAAAACAAAAAGGGAAGGGCTCCCCACGCAACTCCTCGTCATGCTTTGACCATCAATCACGGCTGTCAGAGCAGCTGTGGGCTCCCGCTCGGTGGAGGGAACTCACACCGGAGCGGTGATGAATGCACAGGCTTTAGTCTGCTGCGTTTTGATTAGAGTCGCCTTTCGACAGGTAGCATCGTGTAAAAAGCGAACAAAGCGGATGATGTGACAATGGGGCTGATGCAAAAAAGTGATACAAATAGTGCGATTTGATGATTCTTATTTTACAAAATGAACTGAGACATTCTCCGACGCAGCCCCAAAAGGGACCAAGGGCATAAATAGGAGCGGGAGGGGGGGCAGGGGGGGACATTGAACATTCACTTCTCACCCTCTTTCTTCTGGCATCTTGGCTCCAACCCAAACCATCTTGCAACTTGGCTTTTATCTTGATGTCCATTAGAGTAAACCAAAGCTTCATTACGCAGGCTGCAACATCCCAAAGCTACACTCCTGTTAGCTCTGTGATTGCACATTGTACATTAATGACCTTTTCAAGGTAACATAATCTGTCTACTGTCTTATAAATCCCTGGTAAATTATTGCAAACTTCCTCTGTGGTAGTTTTTGCAACAGCAGGTGTTTCGGGAACACGTTTTTTCCACTCTGATACTCACGGAGAGAAAAAACCCTTTCCACTCGATGTGTAACCATCTGCGAAAACTTTTTAAAACGTTTTTTATTCTGCTTTACGCGAGAAACAACAGCTTCTCATGGTGATACTCTTTACAGCCTCGCTGAATGTTAATGATATTGCTGTTTCACCTTTAAATACCTCAAATAATCTCCTGTCCCTGCTGGCGTGAATGTAAATTGCATCAGCACGAAGCATTTATCAAATCTGATACTCCTCAAGGATGGTCTACAGGATCAGTCATTATTATTTAATAGATGAATAATTGGTGACGTGGAAGGCTATCTGCATATTTTAAATATCTTTTTCTGAAATAAAACGTGTTACATTTAATGTGGCACTGCAAGTACCGAATCCATTTAGTGGCATGATTGGTGGAGTGACACAGACACTTAGCAATAGTACGCTTTCACTTTCCCATACTATGCATTCTAGGCTGCCTCATTAGCCTTCATTCCATTAAAGGGCCAAATTAGGCATCCAGGGTTTAGTAATTGTTGATGTGAAGCAATTTCTTACAGAGCACCGTTCTATAATCCACCACTGCATCTTGTTATCAACGGAGGCGAGGTGCCACTTGGATTGTACCTTCAGACTGTAATGGTTTTCTGATTCCGCATCATCATCATTTCGAATGGATCCTGGACCCGAAGACCTGTTCTGGACCTTCCTGGGTCATGATGGAAATTGCAAGCAGCACCAATTGGCCTCTTGACACGCGAGCCAGATGAAACCTCCCAAGTTAATCAAATCACATGTCATGTTCTCTGCCGAAAAAAAGAATCTGCCTTCTATTATTGCAGACCTTTCCAACAGCACTAAAACACCTTATGCATGATGATTTTGAATTGAGTAATAAGCTAAGGCTTTAAGATTACATATTTTCTTCTTTTCTATTTTATTGTTACATCGACAAAGGGTTGAATAAAATAAATCACCCTTACACAATAAGCCGTACATGGAACTTGATTTATCAAGCAAAATAGTGACATCCAAGTCCACCCAAGTTTTTGGAATATTTATTTTTAATACAGCATCATCAAATAAACCAACCAATGGTGCAGCCCTGCACTGTATATACCCCTAAAATGTTTTCTTTCAGAGCCATTGAACTATTCCCTTGCCCATTGCATTTGGCAGCGAGCCTGCGTACCACCAAATCTTCGACAACACAAATCCCATAAACCGATTCCACAACATCATACTCCCCTCAAATTGTGCACGTAATCGAGAGAAGTCCATGTCTATAATCAGACTCAATCTGCTTTGACGAACATTCAAAACACGTTTATTGCTCAGTGTCAGACACGGTGCTTATTCTTGACTCCTGAGAAGCATATTATGTGAAGATGGAGCTCTTTCTAACTGCAGTACCTGGACTAAACCTTTGTTCGCATTCATAATGGTTGTCTGGCAGACTGACACTATAGCAGTTACCGTGCCAACCGTACCAAACCATGCCAATGTGCTGGCAAACTGGTGCCAAAAAAATGAATAAAAAAAGCTCATATAGAAAAAAATGCAACAAATATTGTCAGCTGCGTGACCCAGTATTTATCACCTCATAACTATTATGCTAATAGTAAAATCCGTCATAAGACGTTTAAGAAAAATACATACACAAGACAGGTTCGAGCAAAAGATACATGTAGAGCTCAACATTGCGTGAACTTTCATTTGCATTTAATTACTTAATTATCTTTAACAGACCTGATTATAATATGATATGTTAAATGAAGCTGATCTATGATAATAGCTTTTGTGTTTGGAGGAACCCATTAGCCTTTGCGAGGGGAAGATTCATGTTTGTGCGCACTGAAAAAAAAAAAGCCATCTGTGTGCGGGTGCAAACATTCCCAGACACACTCCACTGTTCAGACAAACTTTTACACAAGTTATATCTATAAAACACGCCATCATCACCCTGGTGCTACTTCATCAAGGGTATCTCCCCTCGGCAGTACACAGAGTCATTTAGGGCCAAAAAAGAAAGGACAGTTATTCCCCTCTCTTTGACGCCATGATGTCTCTCCGGTTAGCCACACTGCAAGAGTCCCTTTTCCAAAGGGAGGGAACACCCTGCTGAATTCCATCTCTGGATCAGCCGGAGTTCCGCGGATGCATTTGTCCACCCCCACAGGATAGACCTCCGTTAATACGATTACAGAGACTTTAACTTTGATTTAATGCATCTCCGCAGCAAGATTCTGATAGGCGGCATGAACGGCACATCCGCTTATTGTCGCTCGGCGCACGCTACATACGAGTTGACTTATTACTGCACAGTACTGACTAAGTGGGAAATCTCTTTGGACATGGCTCCCCCAACGTATGTGAGATTTAATTCGATTTTCTGTTCAGGCTTAAGTTAAGTGCTTCTAAAGTTTTCTTGTCCCACAACAAGAGGTTGAGAGGGCAGCCATGGTCTCCGCTTGATTTGCCCTTTCAACAATAAGCCACGATTTGGTCGAATACAGAGCGCTTACAGCAACATGGCAGCATTAGCGGGCGAGAGTATTTGGTGCAAAACTGGATTAAGCCTAATCCTGCAGTACATTCATTTCTTTCAATGCAGATCTCTTGTAAGTGCGTGTTTTGTGGGACTATTGGCTTAATCCTTGTGTTTGGAAGCGACGTGAGGTGCACGGAGGAGTGTTTCCTTGACCTTATTTGTCCTCGACTTTTAATATCCACTCTGCTGAGTTAAAAAGGCTGGAGAATGTCTCGGTGGGCGTTGTCAATTCAAACGAGAATGTTCGGTGACTGAGCAGGTATTCAGTTTGTACGTCACCACACCTAGAGAGGGAGAGGGGGGAGACGGGTGTGAACATTGTGCTGCTAATAAGTGCATTCCGGTAGTCTTGCACACATTTGAAGGCTGTCTCACGGAAAGTCAGGCCAGTGTACCGCTTCTGCCCAAGGAAACTAGAAGGCTCATTGGCATGAATTCAAAACCAAAGAAAGAAGATCAACATGTCCGGCCTCAGAAAGGCATGGAAATAAGCTCGGTAGAAAACAGCCCAGAGCTGTGAGTGACGAATCCAATGGTTGCTACTGCTGAACTGAAATGCAGCGAATTAAAAAGTGCAGCCTGCAAAGGCAAGTCTGCCAGGCTGCCTTTTTCATCATCATTGTACTGCCCTCTACGGGTCTTCTTCCAGCCCCCCCCCCACCCTGCCACACTCACACACACACACACACACACACACACACACACACACACACACACACACACACACACACACACACACACATATGCACACCACTTCCTCCACATTACCATACCCCCTTAAAGAGTATTGCGCGCATTACATTGCTTTTCATTTCCAAGCTGTGACAGTCCTCAGATTAGAATGGGTGGGGGGAATTTATGCGTTTTTACGTGTGTTTTTTCCGGTCATATACGACGCTAATTGTTTCATAATACGTCCGATCGTTGAAGGCGATGGTTTGCAATGACCAAGATCAAGTTCCACTAGTTGAAATGTCAGTGGGAAGATAAAGCTCGCGTATATTCATCGGATATCTTACGAGCATTGCGGGACTGGAGCAAAAAAAGCGGGGGGGGGGGGTCGGATTCCCGCATCCGAGCCTAGAAGGAACCTATCCGCTGATCTCCGGTTCGATTTGAACGGTCTGGCAATTGAAATAAAAGAGACCTTGGGCAGCTCTGCACATAAACTGGTACAAGCCGCACCACTGGCAGCAGACAAGGGGATTCGTGCTTCGCCAGTGCGCATGCATGAAAGTCACGGTTAAAATGCATGCGGCAAGTCTCGCCTGATGTGGGATTACGGAGTTTCCCTCCGCTCTCATTTCTTCACCATGTTCGAACTTTGGTTTTGGCTGTTTTTCCGAAATGCTGCTGCCGATTTCCGTCGCTGCGGGAAGAACCCAGGAGCCCGTTTTACCGCGCGGGCTGTCGCGTTATTGGCCTGAATGAGACTGTACGTGCGCTTCCCGATGCCCGCTTCATGGAGCTAAACGCCGAGACTTGACTTTTAAGTATTTTTCTTACATTTTCTTTTTCGACAGCCAAGGGCGGGCGGTTGAAATCACCCGAACCTATGATTTCAATGAGGTTGGAGCAAAAAGACGGGGCACAGCCGTGATTTTCGCGATGCTTTGCCGTTTGACTGGATCAGCACGGTAAGAGGACAATGATTTTTAATTCGCTCTGTCTGTGTCTCCGTCTACCGCCCGTCTGCGCCGAGGCGTTATGCGCTTTAACGTTATTTCGGATGAGCGGGATCTGTCCGTGGTGCTGAAATCAGTTTCCAATCCCCCCGTTGCATTGCTGAAGTTGATCTCGTTTTAATGGTATGCTGTTGAGCGAGCTGTCCGCCGCTGTTATTGCAAATAAAACAAAAAAAACTGCGCTGTTTTTTTTTTCTGCTGACACATTTATCATCAGTTTTATTTGTTCTAAATAACCGCACTGACTCTGCACGGGCATACCCGGCGGCTACAGACGCATAAGTTATCTGTGTCACATCCAGAGGCGTATTTCTTTGCGTTATGGCAAAACAAGCAGGTGTGAGGAAGGCACGTAAGCGGGCGGTCCAATCGCACGTAGCAAGCCGTGCGTGTTCTCGGGTGTTAAAACGCGCATATTTAGGGAGATTTACTGGGTCGCTGTGTAGGCTTTTGTGTCCTTTTTGAGGAGCGCACACAGACAGAACGTGTGTTTGTGTGCACGCGCGGGTGCGCGTCTGCACACGCACTCACGCGTCTTTGGCGGAGAGAAGGGGGGAGAGAGAGAGAAAGAGGGGGACTATCTGTAACCTACTATTGCAGATGCCAAACAGAATACTTGATTACAGATTTATTTACACTCAGTTAAAATGTAATTTCGATCAGATATCCGCCACCGCCAATAGCACTTGCTGATTTGCCTTTGATCAACTCATCTCGTTTCTTTTCCTTTTCTTTTTTTTTTTTGCCCGTGGGTTGAAGAAAGGCTGCGACTGTCGCCTCGTAGACTGATTTTCACATTTTCTATCGCAGGCTGGATTTTAAGATGAACACTGACCGCTTTTCTCGGACGATTCGTTCATGAGAGGCTGCGTTCTTCTTTTTCGATTTTTTAAGAATCATCGTCTAACCCGCGATCGGTTTAATCATAGCAGGCGATTACATTCCCGGTCCTCATGTTGTTTGGACGGAGATGGAGAGAAGGGATCCGACAGTTTCCCCGCGATTACCAAGTCATCGGGAATGTGGGGTGAGTGAGAAATCGTCACGGTTACAGGAGTTGGGGTTTTAATTTTAATTTGTTTGAAGACTGAGACTGACTTGTGTAGAATCGTGGAAGATCACCCGCCACACAATTAGGTGTATATCTGTATTTTGTGTGTGTAAAAAAAACAGACATTCTCATGGGATTGAATAAGTAGATGACCAGATCTATCAGTCTGAACACGGTGGACGCTGAAGTCCCCCCCTCCCTCCTCAAGATAGATTGGAATTCAGGCGAGCTATCAAAAATGCGCAGTGGCCATCCTCCGCGGGTAGTTGTCACATAAACTTGATTATATATTATTGTTTAAGTTTGCATTTATTGAACATTCATCCAGGTTGTTTTTTTCTCCGTCAACCTTACAAACCCTGAAAAAGGTTGCCGACACATCTGCATACTGAACAAACATTAATGGGTCCACTTGTCTTTGCCTGGCTTTTATTATCGATACTGTTTCACCAGGGTCTGCTCAGTCAGTAATCCGTTACTATTATTGTATTTTGCAACAGTCACATCTGTTTTCTTTTCAATGCTCTTTAAAACCGAACCCGTCCTTTTCTTTTCCTCCCTAGATGACACCTCATACCGGTACCGCACTTGAGTGAGCTGGGGCATCCTCTCCCAGGACAAAATGCATATCTGGATTCTCAAAATAAGCCTTCTGATTGCATCATCTCTGAGGCTGATCGAGATGTATGACAATTATGGCGAGATCTGTCGGAACCTGTGTACGTGCGAGGAGAAGGAAGGGATCCTGACGGTGAGCTGCGAGAACCGGGGAATCATCAAACTAACGGAGATCAGCCCGGTCCATTTCTCCGTATACCACCTCTTGCTGACAGGGAACCTCCTGAAGAAGCTGTCGGTCAATGATTTCATCAATTACACAGGAGTGACCATCCTACACTTGGGGAACAATGATATATCCGAGATAGAGTCAGGTGCCTTCAATGGACTCCAGGGATTAAAAAGGTTGCACCTGAATAACAACAAGATCGAGGCTATCAGAGACGACACCTTTGCAGGACTGGAGAGTTTGGAATATCTTCAGATTGATTATAATTACATCTCAAATATAGAGCCCAACGCCTTGAGCAAACTATACCAACTTACAGTGATGATTTTGAACGACAACCTGCTCTCTGCCCTGCCGACAAATATCTTTCGGAATGTTCCCCTTACACACCTGGACCTGAGGGGGAACCGGTTAAAAATGTTCCCCTACATCGGCCTCTTGGAACACATGGACAAAGTTGTGGAATTACAACTGGAGGAGAACCCGTGGAATTGCTCCTGCGAGCTGATCGCTCTGAAGGCTTGGCTGGAGAGTATAGCATACACGGCTCTGGTGGGGGAAGTGGTCTGCGCGACTCCGTTCAGGCTCCACGGTAGGGACCTGGACGAGGTGTCCAAGCAGGAGCTCTGCCCGAGAAGACCCTCGGAAGACACTGTAAGGCCTGCACCCCCTAGCAGCACCAATGGATATTATCATACCACACCTTCTGCCGTCACCGCCTCCGCCACCTCATCGGCTGTTTTTAGGTCCTCCTCTAGGCCGACCAAGGGCACCCGGCAGTTCAACAGAACTAGGTTAAAGCCCACTTCCCGAATACCAGGGGGTAACCCTTACAATTATGGCCCCATCATTGCTTTTCAGACCAAATCTCCTGTGCCTTTGGACTGTCCCACTGCCTGCACGTGCAACCTGCAGATATCGGAGATCGGGCTGAATGTCAACTGCCAAGAGAGAAAGATTGAAAGCATTTCTGATCTGAAACCCAAGCCATACAATCCTAAAAAAATGTATCTCACTGGAAATTACATCCCTGTGGTGCGGAGATCAGATTTTGTGGATGCCGTTGGATTGGATTTGCTTCACCTGGGAAACAACAGGATAAGTCTGATCCACGACAGGGCTTTCGGGGATTTAACCAACCTGCGTAGGCTGTATTTGAATGGTAATCTCATGGACAGGCTTACAGGAGAAATGTTTTTTGGTCTGCAGAACTTGCAGTACCTCTATTTAGAGTACAACAAAATCAAGGAGGTCGATGCGGGAACTTTCCGTTACCTCGCTAATCTCCAGCTGCTCTTCCTCAACAACAACCTCCTGAAAACCTTACCCGTGGGCATCTTTTCCAGCCTCTCCCTGTCTAGACTTAATCTCCGCAACAACCATTTCCAAAACCTGCCCGTGAGTGGTGTTTTAGATCAGCTGAAGATGCTGGTGCAGATGGATCTGTTTGAAAACCCCTGGGACTGCTCCTGCGACATAGTGGGAATGAAGATATGGCTCGAGCAGCTCAGCGCAGGCACCGTGGTCAACGAGGTTGTGTGCGAAATGCCGCGGCGCCACGCAGGAATGGATCTGCGCTCCATCCAATCGGAGCAGCTCTGCCCAGATTACTCTGACGCTAAAGTCTCTCCGACGCCCCCTACGGACGAGCCCATGGACGACAGGGCCGTCACCACGGGGGCACCTCAGAAGTTCAACACCCCCAGCAGCACCGTCCCTCTCTCTGTCCTCATCCTCAGCCTCCTGCTCGTCTTCATCATGTCTGTCTTTGTGGCCGCGGGGCTGTTTGTGGTCGTGATGAAAAAACGCAAAAAGTCCCAGAGCGATCGTACTAGCACCAACAACTCCGACGTCAGCTCGTTCAACTTGCAGTACAGCCTCTATAGCAACCGCTCCGGCCCCAAAGTCAAAGCCCCAGCCGGACACGTCTACGAGTATATCCCCCACCCCATGGGCCACATGTGCAAAAACCCTATTTACAGATCACGAGAAGGCAACACAGTGGAGGATTACCGTGACCTCCACGAGCTCAAGGTCACGTACAGCAGTACCCCGGAGGATGAGAGGGATAGCAGTACGATGCGGAGCCCTGCGTACAGCGTTAGCACCATCGAGCCACGTGAGAACCCCTCCCCTATCCCGGACGCAGACCATTTCTTCAGAGGCATGCTGGATCACGATAAGCAGCACCCCCATCCACCCATCCCGGCCGGCGCCAATTTAGAGTACAAGTACACAGGGCCTGTGTCGTACACGTACAACCCCAATTTTGATGTCAGACGTCAGTTCTTGCACCCGGAGAGGATAAGAGAAACAGTGCTCTATGGCACAGCACCCAGTACTGTTTATGTCGAGCCCAACAGAAATGAGTATTTGGAGCTAAAAGCTAAACTGCAGTCTGAGCCCGATTACCTCGAAGTTCTTGAGAAACAGACCACCTTCAGCCAGTTCTGAGCAACAGAATCATTGATGTTGATGACGCAATTTCTCTCTTGACCCTCCTTGGAAAAGTGGCTGAGCTTATTGGGTGCCTTGGCACGACACACACACGCAAAAAGGAGTTGAAACGGGGTGTGCCGAACAATCTTATTCTTATTTCTGAAACATGACATTACAGGAATGGATACAACTTTCTGAAACACTGATGAACAAAATTGCTCTAGTTAACTGATAATGCAAATCTATTTTTCTATGGTGAAGATCGAATACACACAAAATTTAAGTGTACAGGTAAATCTTACCCAGCCTCATTTTCCGGATTATAACCATACATAAGGCATATTGTGAATCAGTAAAGAAATGTTTATAAAACCACACTCCTGGACAAAAACACTGTACAGAAGATCATCAAAACTGTGTAGGACTATTTTCTGCTGTAGTCTGTAAGTAAGTATTTATTGATATAATCTGCCATGTCTTTTCAAAACCTTTGATTCTACATCAATATTACCTGTGTCATCATACTCCATGATCCTCTGAAAAAAGGCTTATGTTTGTAGTTTCATTTACTGTAGCTCTGCATTGTAAAAGTGGCTTTTTTTGAAAGTGGCACACCCCTAATGTTCAAAAAAGACATTTGAAGAAGATGTAAAAAAAAAGTGTCTTTGTATGCTTTCTGCACTTTTTGGAATTAGAAGGCGGGTTAGCCTTCAATGAGCTCTTATAAAAAGGAGATTATTATATTAAAAATGAATATGGGTATTCATTCTTAATATGTAGAACAAAAAACAAAATTACATAAATATTTGAAGTATTATAATTCTGTTGTGTAATACTGATATTTTATTCAATGTAACACCTATTTTTATACAAGCGTTTGCAGATTCTCTATCCCTTATCGACTTTATTTGTTTTGATTGCTTTGCACTTACTGCATTATATTGACCAAACTATGTTATTGTCATCAAATAAACATGGTGTCAGGTTGATATAATGTCCTTATGAGTTGATGATAATATAGAGGCCCTTTAGGTTTGGTCAAATTTATTTTCGCATTCAGAAATGATCAATTTGTTGTGTGAAATATGGGATTGGAGAGCTTGAAAAGGGGGCCACGGGGCTAATCGTTGTTAAATCTCTAAATCATATGGCAATACATTGGCCATCAAGAATTGGTCCTGTTTAGCACTCGATCAAAGCAGATAAAGACAGTGTGCATGCCTCAATCAGAGGGTTAGCTGTGTCTCTGTCAAGATTACAAGCAATGAGTCTCAATCAATGAGAATCATCTGAGGTCTTCTTCTTGCAATCATACCATGACAACAGCGACAATTAGTGTTGAAACAAAATGCAAAGTTAGCAATCTTGACAGGTTCAATGGTTAAAAAATGTGCACGCTCATTAAGACGTACAGCTGCTAAATTTAGGATTTAGTGATCAGACCTTTCTTATCAACTTTTTGGTTTACTTTTAAGATTGAATACTTTTAGAATCATTTCTTACTTTGGAAAAAATATTAAGATACTATTTTGGAGTATGCTGCATCTTTTTATGCGCTTGATTTTGCTAGCATCTAACCGAAATCACGTTTAGTTTTTTTTTTTTGTTGTCAAGATGGTTTTTCATTTAAATGTGTGTTTGAATGTCTATAGTTCTTATATTAAAAGGATGAAAAAAGGTCTTTGGAGAAATTATAGAAATGCTCTTTTTGCTTGTGAGCTGACCTGAGGGTGTGTCCCTTGCTGTGTTTGATTGACAGCAGTATTGAACCTCAGGACACCAGTCACAACGTGTCATTTCCTGGTACGTTTACATGCTGTTTAATGCACTGCAGCTGAGAAGCCGATTGGCCATGTCCCCAACCGGATGCTTGTTTGTTTGCTTGTTCAACAATCCGCAGGTGCAGGACAGGACTTGCGTTTCATAAGAAGGAGACTTTGACGGGAATTCTAATGTGTGAGATTGACAGCTACTGTGTTGTGTTGCAGGCTGAACTGTGACCGTCTGCTCTGCGAGATATGATTGGTTGCGTCAAAATAAGCTCATCTACGCAGACAAAAAGGGGGTCGCCATTACGACACCAGCAACTGAAATGAGAATGAGAATTTTTGAGAATCGTTTTTTGTCTGCTACAGTACAAGAGGAAATCTATAAAAATATATGGATTTATGGTTATCTCCCTATGCAGGAGAAGACAAAAATTGAAGCCTTCTCATTTCAGTAAGACTTTATATTGCTCTTCCCTTGACCCACTTAAATCTGATATTTAAAGTAGGTGTATAAAAATGCAAAGGATGCACTGTGTCACCATTTTTAGTCTGCGGCGAGCCAAACCCTTTAGAAATTCAATGTTTCCTAACTGAGATGGGCAGGCGTCTCTCTGGAGAGGCCGTGTCAGTGTCAGTCTCTCCCTTGTTTTCTCATTTTGAAGGATTCCTCTTGATTACTGTGGATTTATATCAACATCAGCTAAAATAAGGGTCTCTTTTTCTCTCATCTTTTACTTAATCAGCATTACGTCAACTACCTTTTTTTTTTCAAATGGAAAATGAAACCAGTCTATTCAAGGTCCTTCTTTCATTGGATCTTTTCATAGTGGCCCAGAATGGGAACAGAAGGCACCATTTGGGAGAAGAGGAGTTCTGGAACCGAGTGTAACTGTGGATGTCTCATACATGTAGCAGGGGATGTGAATCATAGCCAAGAAGTGTGTGCAGTGGGCCAGCAATGGTGGCCTATTGGATGGCACCGTGTTGACATGGATTTTGTATTTATTCTTCCTGATGCCAATATGGGAATTGATCAAATGTGCAAAATAAATGTAAACTTTTTAAAATTTCCTATGAAATTATATTCTTCAGGATAAAAAAAAAACGCTTTTAACCCTGTAACACAATCCCTGAATTGTGCGTGCATTCCACGTGGGTTACACTGTATCTGTGCCTATGGACATTCCAGTCTCCCAAACTCACAGCGTGGATTTTTATCACTGTTAAGACCAAGCACTCTGTCCCAGAGTAATGGGCACATGAAGCATGTCATTGCAGAATGGGATGTAGTGTGTGCTTGTGTGCAGGGGGGGAGAAGCGAGTCTTGCCAGTTGAAATTATGCTTTTAATCAGCCAATGGGCTCTCAGGGTCTTAACACAAATGGAGGCATCAAGGAAGGGCAAGTTTATTATGTCTTATTGGGTTATTCAATTTATAGCCTTTCACAAGCTTTCTAGCTGCCTTTCTTTCGACCAATCTATTTCGGTGCCATGCCTTCCCCGGTTAAAATGATCCCAACGCACCCTGTGAGGAACAGTGAGATTCAAAGCCTGCGTTTGGAAGAGGAGTTTCGAGTTGAAATGCCCCGCCTCATGCTCCGCAAGAGCCACCCTGATTTACGGCTTAGGCCATTAAGCTGAATCCGGGCCGAGCGGGACCGAGGTGCGGATGTGGCTATCGCAGAAGTCTCGCTCTCTGCTCGGTGACGCTGCCAAAGAGCGGTCACAAGACGTTTGTTCTTGCACATATTTCAACTGCTTTCAGAGGAGGAGGACACTGTGTTCCAATATTTTCATAGGCGCTCTGCTTTTGCACCATTTCAGAGTTAATCAATGTGGAATAGTACAATGCGTGAAAGCACCTTCCAAGTGTTGGCTCATCACATCGGCTATTTCCAGTTTAATTTTGAAGCAGCCATTTTCTCACGGCCGACGCTGCAAATAACCAGCTAATTAAACATTTACTGGGATTGGATTAAGCATTTATCTGCTTAGAATAAAACTTTGTGGCTCATCACTTGGTGTTGGCAGAATTTGGTGTTTGTGGTAAATAAAAACAGCTTGACGCTACATATGCAGAGGGCGTGTTTACACTGCAAAGTGGCCCCCGCATTGTTTATGCATCATGTCTCCTTTATGTTCCCATGAGGTACACCTGGAAAATTAACTATATGCGTTGTTTGATATTACATTATGTGAACTGTAAAATATTCTTGATTCCTGTTCCATTTTTATGTTCAAGGTCATGCTTGATAGACTTATGGATGAAGAAAGGACGGATTAACGTTACATGATCATATGTCAACAGTCACAACAATACGCTCATTTATACATTTCTCAATGGATATGAACATAAGTGTTATAGGCAGCTGTAGATCTGAACCGCAAAGAGTTAGTTGCTGAGCATTTGTATTTGGAACCTTTGTTTTTCACATTAGGTCCGCACCACAGTAAATAATAATTAGGCTAATATGTGTACCGAGACAGATCGAGGGGGTTGACGCGTTCCATATGCTCCAGCCTCACCTCACCTCTTGCCGGAGATACCCCGTCCTCGGCACTCCCTGGTTTCTAGCCTGCCACCCAGTCTCCAAGATGATGCGAGCAATTGAGTTCAAGGAGATTTGGGTAATTGAGAGGGCAGGGATGGCATCTGACAGGCACCGATGGCTCCAGTGATTACTTTAATCAGAGTGGTTAATGGAATTCCTTCAGGCATGCAGAAAATGCTCAAATGTTCATCAGCACTCAAGCAGGGTTTTTTTTTTTTGGCCCCCCCGACACCGCCTCCTCTCTTACCCCATGTTGTCACGATCGCTGATCACTTTTCTGTCACGCTTTAAGGTCTCCGCGGCAGCAGGTGAGGCGCCTGCTCCTCGCGTGAATCTAAAGTGTGAATCGCCACGTGAGGTTGTTGGAATGGTTTTTATGTATGGAGTGTTGTTATCATGAAATATCATGGCAAACTTGTTAACTCAGAGTAAAATCCGTATGAATAAATCAAGCACGCACTCAGGTGAATAAAACGTGGTGAAGATATCTCCAATCAAGAGGGGGTAAAGACAGTATTGTTTGGCTTTTATGTTTCCAGGAAAAACCATCACTCTCATCGTAGCAGCTATTGGATTTTACAATTCTCTTTGTTCCACAATTAGACCCCTTAATGTACCGGTCGCAATGAAATTCTGCTCCTATCAGCCTCCCAGTTAACACTCCCACTGTCCAGCCTGTGTTGAATTAACTTCAAGAAATAGTCCATTGCGTGTAAAAGTGCACTATGAATCCAGACTCAAAAGCCATCTGCCCAAAAAACATGCCCACCGTGGCTAATTCTATTTATCTAATTTGGTGTAAGAACATTTTCTCCTCTTTTTTAATCTAAAAATATTTTGGTTATGTTGTGTGTGTAAAGAGTGAAGAAAATACTTTCTTTATTAGTAACTTATTCCCCTTTTAATTTAATCTTTTTAATCTTGTTTTTCATTAATTTTTTGTTGATTTTTTTCTTGGAGATGAAATATCAAAAAAAATAATATTGATAACAAAGACCAAGTTTAAATTGCTTTTCACGTGTTGAACATCCATTATATGATCCAAAGGCAGTGATGGAAAATATATTCTTCAATTTAAATATGGTATTGTCACTACATGTTGCATCACTACATATAGAACGTAATTAGCACTACATATAGAATGTAATTATGTCAGAAGGGAGACATTCTACTCCCCTTTAAAGGGGCTGATTTTTCCCTTCATTTACTGCCATTAATGGAAATAGAAACTGTTATCCGGTCGTTAGAATTAGCGAGATTCGGTCCCTCAACAGTCTGAATCCTAGATATTTAAGTTATTATGTAGACAGAGGTCCTATAAAGCAAAATGGATACCAATCAATCTGTGAGGTATGGATGTCATATGAACAATACTCTATTTACAGTAGTGCATGATTTGCACATGCGGAAGAAAAAAAGAATCGATGAACCAACATCGAGGTTGTTGAAATCTGTGTGTGTGTGTGATGAAAGCTTTCAAAAAGCTGTCATTATGTCACTGCCAGGGAGAGAGGGATTGGGAGGTTCTTTCATTTTCATCATTGTGCTTTTCTTGCTTGTTTTCATTGGGCCTCCACTTTTTTGTCGTTCATGGCGTCTGCGCCCGTTGACCCGGAGTAACCCTGTTGTTTCACGAATGGCAACCCCACCAATACCGACCATGTCCCCGCCTGCCCTCCAGAAGAAAAAAAGAGTTGCTATATGGCTTTTTTTCCAAAAGATTTGAGTCTGTTAACTAAGCAACAGTGCCTCCATGTATGCCTGCGTGGGGTTTGGAACCCTGCCCCGTTTTACTCGAGGCGTCACATCGCAAACCAAGTCAACACAAAAAAGGGTTCCAATAATTTGGGGAAACAAATGAGACAGATTTATACGAAGACTTTTTAAAACTCAATGCCCCCTCGATGCAGGCTTTCTTTGAGGTGGAGGAATACTGATTTTAGAATTGTGGAATCTGGGTCCCTCGGAGCCAGCTGTGCCTCTTACTTATAGAAATCCATTTATCGATCACTCCTGCAATCACCAAACGCAATGCCTATCTCTCATTTACCACAGGGGCTTTGATTGACATCATGCGGCTCAACACAGCAGAGTACAGCATATTGTTTGCCTTTCAGGTTCACTCAATTCTCTGTAAAAAGAAAATGTCTATACCTAGCATGTTTGCTTCGCAATTAGACGGCCTATTGTTATTGCTGGAATTGGTTTCTCTGGAGGTGCGCGGGTTTTTCCAAGACAGATTGGATTGAAAGAGGCCGACGAGGCTCGTATGTGGGCGGCGTGTGCGCGTCTTTGTGGCTGCGTCTTTGCACGGCACCGTCTTTCGCAGATTTCTGGCTTACTGTAAAACGTCCACTCATTAGCTCTCTCTCCCTCAACTTTTTTCCCGTCCCTCTCTGTATCTCCTATTCTCACTCTCCTGTCCCCATTTTGTTTCTACCACACAGCTTTCGCTGAGGAGTCTGCAGAAACCGAGGGCCTTGCTAAAGGAATTAGACGCGTGCGCTGGGAGATCGCTCAGATAATGAAATGGTGGGAGGTAGAGGAACTAATTTTCTCACTTGTGAGAGGGAGACATACTAATGCGGCTATTGAACATACCAAAGAATAGAACTGACAGGGAACAGAAAATGTTATTTGATTCCAGCTCGCAAGAAATAGAGACTCACTAAAAAGGATGAAGTTCGTCATTGGATTTAACCATCCAAGATGAGGCTTTCCACCCAAGGGCGAACTACTGTTTTGCAACTGTCCTTCTCCCAGAGCGCGTTGAGGGGCAGCTTGCTTCTGTTTGGACATTGGCAGGGCTGAAGTTGGCAGAGTGTGGGTGTGCTTGCTAAAAAATGGCTCCTGTGGAGGGGCCTCTCAGCGCTCTTACAGCGGTGTTGACGTCAGCTACTTGTGATGCTCTTGGCAACGTGTGTGTGTTCGTTTGTGTAGGCAACATGTACGTTGAATGGAGCGTCGTTTAATGAAGCGAACAAGGGTTGAATGGTGGGATTAAAAAAAAGAAAACAGAACTGATGCATTGTGCAGTCATTATTCCTCATTTACAGACCTGTAATGTTAGTTAGGAAGTTTGACTCGTGCAGGCAACACAACACATTCTGGACTGAAATTTTATAAATCACTGGGGAGCAATCCAGTGTGTGAATCCACATGCAATTCATGAAAAGAGGTCATTAGGAACAGGACTGCACCGAGGGGGGTCCCTTTTTATACTGCAACATTTTGTTTTCTTTGTCGTCCTATGGTGATCTTTAACTGGTTTTACTCTCATTTCACCTTGCCTTACAAAGAAATTGTAGCTTTGCACACAAGTCTATTGTTTTGACTCACTGTGACTGAGAGTTTTGCTCTGACCTGTGCCAATGTTCAAGGACAACTTCTTGCCTGTTCTGGATTACACAAGACTTTGTTTACAGCTTTATTTCAGGGCTATCATCCCCACTCTGTTTTGCACTTCAATGCATCCTTTTCACACTCTCATTCGTGAGCAAAGCCTGGCGCGCTCAATT